TAAGAAAGATTTCTCTCGTTTCTCTAAAAAAGGCCTGTGGGTTTTTTTGGTCTAATCTTTACTCTTCATATGCGATACCTTCTTATATACCCGGTAAGTGACTAGCTGTCATTATGAAATGAATTCATGTTTGCCTACTTTGGCTCATCAGCAACATGACATCAAATTGCTTACCCTCATGATTTTTTTTGCCAGTGTTCATAATACTTCTTAAGGGGGAATATGGTCTTGGGCAACATGATGCAGAGAACTGAGCAGACTTTGCTGCTCCCCTTTTTTCCCAAACATCTATGACTGTATAAGCTTAGAAGTTTTAGCAAGTATGTTAGCCTTTACAAGTCAATAAAAATATGCTCGCCTTCAAAGCAGTTCCTGGCAAACTGCTTATTCTAGTAATGGTGCTATTGCTTAGAAAATCTTGAGATACTTTTTTGACAATACCTTAAGAAATTTTGGCCCATTTATTTAAATAGTCTCAATGGTAGAAAATTTTCATCCATTGAAAATAGATCTTAGTTTTGGAAAAAAAACTGAAGTTTAGAGTGGTTAATACCATTTGGGGTCCAAACCAAACAGCTGTGAGTCCAAAATAGTAATAAATCTTGCATTTGTAGAGTGCTCTATCTTTTCCATAAACTGTGTGGTCTTTTTTTCAGCAAAACTAGGGATCATGGAAAGGTTGTTTTCTGTGTTATGAATCTATGAGGTGGCAGAACAGACACTTGAGATTCTGCTTTCTGACTCCATGTTCTATGTACTTTACACTAACACCACCATGTAATGAGACTAATTTTCTTGATAATGGAAAACAGCTTCAAAAATGGTTTAGGCAGGGACATTGCAGTACTAAATGTATATCCTTCTGAGGTAAATACTTCAAGCAAATCTAGATTATCCATTCTATATTCAAACTAGTTTACTGAGAGTTTCTGTTTCTTCTTGATGCTAGATAATAGTATAACTAGAGCTTTTCATTGGTTATTATCTCTGCCTAAGTTAGTCGATGGTAGGAATTTTCACATAAGGTTTGTGGCAGTAGATCCAAAAGAGCAGTGAAAGGGGCTAGAGAGAACCACATTTTTCTTAATTTTTATCCCATGCCATTAAATAAAAATACTTTCTTAGGCTTCTAAAATGTATCTTCTTAGCAAAGTTTATACGCTAAAATAGTTTTTAATTGGAATTTAATTTGATTTTCAGCGTGGCTTTGTGACAGGTGGTGCAGATAAATCTGTCAAATTCTGGGATTTTGAGTTAGTGAAAGATGAAAATAGTACCCAAAAGAGGTGAGTAGACATTTTTTATGTCCATATTTTGGAGTGAAAATGGGGAACCACTGAATGTCAAACGTACGTATTATTTGTTGTTAGAGTTAGGATTTATCAGAATTTGTGTTCTCATTAATTTTTTTCTTGATGTTTTTTGTGGTGCTAGACTTTCTGTGAAGCAAACTCGAACCTTGCAACTAGATGAAGATGTTCTGTATGTCAGTTACTCTCCCAATCAAAAGCTATTGGCTGTGTCTTTGCTGGACTGTACTGTGAAAATTTTCTATGTTGATACTTTAAAGGTATAGTGGTTATGCCTGGGGATATTTTCCCTTTCTGACTGAGCTTAAGAATTTGGATTGAGACTGTAAAGAAGTGGCCGTGACTGTGCTTAGCAGTAGTAGTACAGTTCTAAAAATTTGTGTGTGAATCAAAGCAGTGTAAGTATCCTAGAGAAGCTAGCATTTTAAAATAATTCTATGGTTCATAAATTTTGTTTAAAGCAAGTTATATTTTATATGTTCAAAAAATCTTGTGCCCAGAAAATTCTGTCATACTAAGTAGTTATAACATTGCTAGGTGTCCTAGGCAGTGATTTCACACTTGGCTATATATTAGGATCATTTGGGTTGCTTTTAAAAATATAGATTACTAACACCCAGAAAGTTGATAGGAATGGGTTGAGCCTGGGAATTTTTTTGTGAAACCAGGTGCTCTGAAATCTTTTCAGTGAAGTGATCCAGAGATCTGACTGAGGCAGTAAGCTTCTGGGGGCCTCCTTGCCTCCACTATACTGCAGTATTCTTGGCATGTGCATGGAGGATCTGTGTATTGGACACAGGTGCTCTTACCAAGCTGTCTTTTATGGCTTTTCTTTGAAAATACACATGTAAAGCAATTAAAAAATGTATTTAGTATTGTATTTTCAAGTCATATTTTAGACCTACATGTAATAAATTATACCTATATTTTATAAATAGACATGAATTATTATTTTTCTTTTAATGTTTAGTTTTTTCTCTCACTGTATGGACACAAACTGCCTGTTATCTGCATGGACATCTCTTACGTAAGTAAAGTTTAAATAGTGTCTCAGTAATATGTTATCTTTTCTAAAGCAGATACTTCCTCATTTCTGGCTTGATGTCTTCATTTTAGATTATTTGCTTTTATCATTCTGTTATATATTTTTCTCTAAAAAGTCTCAATTTAATATATAGTATCTTATACGTGTCACTTTAATGTTTTCAGAATAATTTTGTGAATATTATCTCAGTCAATCCTTATATTTTCTTAATCCCTCTTATAGATCTCCCAAATAGTATTTTGTTATTTAAAATACTAAAATTGGTAGAATCCACTAAAATATGAAAGACTTTTAAAAAGGCATTCCTTTTTGTTCTGAAGGATAATGGTGCTGAGGAGCTTGGATTTGTATTTGGATAGTTATGGTATTTTGCGCTATGTAGACTTTTGGCCTCTTGACCAAAATCATTTATTTCCCAATATCTAGTTTTGATTAGAAGTGGCAGTGTATATTTAAAAACAATGTCTATTCTGTGTGTTGACCTCATAGCTGTCTGATCAGTGCACTAACAAAGTTAAGTTACAGTGTTAAATGTATTTCTATTTTTTTTATGTTGACAACCATTTAAACCAGGCATTGAAATAGGCGAGAGAAGAGAAATAGTGATAGGGAACATGGGATACATAAACATTCTAGTAGAGTCTTTCTCAGCTTCTCTTCTTTTTCTCACTTCCACTTTCTCTCCAAATCCCATGCCAGAGATTAGAGAATCTTTTTCCCATCTAACAAAGTAAATAGACAATCTTACATTAAGGCACAGCACTGCCCTATGACAGTACGAAAGTATTTAAGTCACAAGGTTCATGCTTTTACTTAACAAGCTTTTAAAGTACCACTGTAGGTAAGAGCAAATAATTGAGCGTTTTTAGTAGAGAAATGAAATCAGTTTTTTGGCTTCATTTTAATGTTTTTGAAAGAAATGGGTTAAATATTCTGGTTAGCTTTCTGTTCATATCCAGAATTCAAAAATCAAGGTAATGTTTTACTTTGGTTTCTCATAGGATGGAGCACTCATAGCAACCGGCTCCGCTGATAGGAATGTGAAAATCTGGGGTTTGGACTTTGGGGACTGCCACAAGTCTCTCTTTGCACATGATGACAGGTACGTATAGTCTTTTCAAAGGCCTCCCTTTAAGTCACCTGTAGGTATCACTTTCCTTGAGCATCTGGGTCTATTTTTCAGTGTTCTCAGGCAGTGATAATAAGTTCTAAAATATAGTCCAACACTCTAGAACTAGCTAGTCAAATGCTATTTATGTGTGTAAAACTCTTTTTACTAACCTGGAATTTTACAACATTTGAATATTTCTGTCACTTTTCAGTGTGATGTACCTACAGTTTGTACCCAAGTCTCACCTCTTCTTCACTGCCGGGAAAGACCATAAGATTAAACAGTGGGATGCAGACAAATTTGAACATATACAGACTCTGGAGGTAACCACGTGCCTGCTTTGCTTGCTCAGTACTTAAGAAATACTTTTAAGAATATTTAATTACCCACTAAGTAGTGGTCTATGAATGATGAGATACTCTTACTTGAGGTTTTTTTTTTTTTTTTTTCCTCTAGGGGCATCACCAGGAGATATGGTGTTTGGCCGTAAGCCCCAGTGGAGACTATGTTGTTTCATCGTCCCATGACAAATCTCTGAGGCTTTGGGAGAGAACAAGGGAGCCTCTTATTCTTGAGGAAGAAAGGGAGATGGTAAGAACGTTAGGCTTGGTTACAAATGTGCCAGTAGGCGTCTGACAGGCTGTTCTAGTTGAAGTTTTCTGTCTCGTGCAGCTACACTTCATTCATTGCAAGTCCAAGAACCTTCAGGAGATCTGTTGAAGACTACTGTCACCCATTTCAGAAGCTAGGCAGAGATAAAGATGCCGTTAGGGGTTATGCTATCAAAGAAGCAGCTTCTTGCTGCCTCATTTCTCTTTATATACAGACCATGTTTTATTCTCTCAAATTAATGTATGTCTATCTCATGGCAGGAAAGAGAAGCAGAATATGAGGAGAGTGTGGCCAAAGAAGACCAACCGGCAGTGAGTAAATTTTGGGGACCCTGAGATTATGCCCCATATATAGCTATCTTACTGAAATTGACTATAATATCCAGAATTTCTAATAGAATTAAAATTGAGGCTAGAAATTTTATAGTATAACCAGCTGATAAGGGAAAGAATCTGTGTAATTATTTTTGTTTAACTGTATATCCTAATTTTGTGGTTCAAGTGATTGACCAAATTTGCTATTGAATAACTGGTAATTGAGGCTTTAGGGAATCATTTTATTCACTGTACAGCAAAAATAAATATTAGGAAATATGGATAATCTCTTTTTAAACATTTGCAGAATATTCTTACGATAATACATATGCTTAAGTGTCTGGCACTTACTAAGTACTGTTAATGGTAGTTGATAACACTTAGCATTTTCATAAAATAATGATGGCTATTTTTACGTGGATGTAAAATTAATTTATCAGCTCTTTTTAACTCCTGTCAACATTATCCTTCAAGGATTTCTTTGTTTCTGGCAGGTTCCAGGAGAAACTCAAGGCGACAGTTACTTTGCTGGAAAGAAAACTATTGAAACAGTGAAAGCAGTAAGTTGATATAGAATGTAGTATCTCATTTTTTAATAAGATCCCAACTTTTTAGTAAAAGTTTTATTCTGTATCAACCAGAAAGCCATTCTGTGGCAAAAAGTTGATGAGATTAAAAGGTGGGGGATTATAACCTCTGTTTTCTTCTCTTGTAACCAAAGATGGGAGTAGTCCTGAATCTCTTTGATCAGTATGTGCTTTTTTTCAGGTGTTCCTGGGACCTGCCCTATTCAGAGTGTCTCAATATTATCCCACCTGAGTCCATAACACTTAGTCTCCTCCCTGTGAATTAAAAAAATAAGAAAACCAAAAATGTCTTTACATGCTTTTTGGCACTCTTCGCACATCTTTATTAAAGGGATGGAAGCTACTTCATTTAGGAAATTTCTAGTCAGCTTTTCCAGTTTCGGTGTCCTGGGATGATGGAGTATGTTGTAATGATTTCTTTGCTTTGTCATCATCTAGGCTGAGAGGATTATGGAGGCTATTGAGCTGTACCGAGAAGAGACTGCAAAAATGAAGGAACACAAAGCCATTTGTAAAGCTGCAGGGAAAGAGGTAAGAGAGTACAGTAAGTTGCAGTATCAATAGAGGGAATTCCTGAGGAGAAAACCATTATTCTGGGATCTATTATCTAAGATCAGGGTATGCAATAAATGCAGTAGAACCTTTCCAACTCACTATATTAGAAGAAATTGAGGAACTGGGAGGAAGGGAACTTGGTCTTAATGAAAGTGAAGGAAAGGAAATTACAGATTGAGATGATTATTGTCTGGAGTAGAAATTCACATTCCTACTTTGGTTTGGGAGGCAGGGTAACCATTTCAGATTTCTAGATAAAACATTGTCCAAGCTCATTCATGTGTACTATGGAAACTAACAGGCTTGATAATTCTTTTATACTCTGTCATTTTTTTAGGGTCTCTTTTCAAAATTATAAAATAGAGTTACTATTCTGTCTATAACAAGCGCTATGTAAGTCTCAGTTTTTTGAATGATTTTATTTAATAATTTCTTCATAGGTTCCTCTTCCCACCAACCCCATCCTGATGGCTTATGGCAATATCTCAGTGAGTAAAACGTGTAGCAGTTTGTCCTTGGTTATTCAAAGGTTACTTACAAGGACAAGAAAGGAAGTAAAGAGACATTATGATTTGGGGATGGATTATTTGGAATACTTTTTCTTTAAAAGTCTCTTTTGAATCTTGGCATTCTGTAGGATAGTTTGTATTTCAAAAGGATCACTTTAGTGTAACTTCCCAAGCCTGCCTTTTTGGTTGGACTCGACTGCCATTCTTCTGTTTTCTAGTGCTTGTTTATGTTCAGTGTCCAAAGCCCCCTGAAGATTCTAGAAGTTCATCTAAATGAACTTTTGAATCAGCCTTCCAAGAAAAAGTTGACAGAAATCAGTCTGATACGATAAAGAAGAAAGAGAGGAAAAGTAATGGGAGAATGTATGTTTATCTAGTAATCTCTAATTAGTATTTTACTTGCATGTCTCATCACTGATTTTGTGAGTCAGGGCATCTTCACCTTACAGATTAGTAATCCAGCTTGACTTGTAGCATAGTTGTTAAGGGACGGAGTTCGATTGCAAAACCAGATCTTTCTGACTAAACTCTTAGAGATCTTGCCATTTTAGACACTGTTTCTGAAGAAACAAGGAGAGGTTCCTGTTTTACAGGTGATAGAAATTAGAGAACTTTAGTAGAAACCAACCAAGAGTATCACTAATGGTGTTAATCCTTCCTTTACAGCCATCAGCTTATGTATTAGAGATTTTTAAAGGTATCAGGTCAAGGTGAGTGAGTCCTTGCACATAATTACTATAATCTGTCAGCGAACACTTACGAAGTGCTTATTTGAACAGGAAATAAATAGAAATTATTTATTGATAGTTGTCTTTCTTTTAGGTTTAACAAAATCAAAGTTTTGATGGAAAATAATTTATAATGTTTGAAGTGCTAGAACTAGGAAGTTCCTTCCAAAGTGTAAAGAGAGATGCTTTTAAGGACAAATAAAGGGGAGTGATTTATGTTGTAGGCAATGAAATAATATATAATTAAATCAGAAGCACCAACTGTTAATATATTTTTATGTTTGGCTTCTTTTCTATGTACATACACAATTGGAATATTATATAAAGTTTTATATTCTGTTTTTTTTCACATATTTCCTGAATATTTGTTTATTGTTCATATTAAAAAAAAAATCATTGGATTCAGAATTATTTCGTTGTATGAATAATTACTGGATGTTGCCTTTGTTTCTCCTTTTTGGCTATTAATGGCTTCACTGAATATCTTTACATATATATCTTTGTCATCGTTATTGATTATTTTTCTTAAGAGTCCTAGCAGCCTAATAACTGACCAGTAGGCATGAGATTTTTTTATATTGCCAAATTACTTTCCAGGGTGATCATACTGATTTTTGGCAGGCTTTCACATATTTGTTGCCAGTGTGAGAGGCAGAAGGTAATATTGTATTCTTTTCATTTCTTTTGACTATTAATGAAGTTAAAAATTTCAGCACAGTTGTTGACCATTTGTATTTTTTCTTATGAATTTTTAGTTATCTTTTTCTGCTCTTAAGTAGTCTTTTACTGGATTTTTAAGAATTCTTTCTGGGCACAGTGGCTCATGCCAACATTTTGGGACACTTGAGACCAGAAGTTTGAGACCAGCCTGGGCACCATACTTTATTTTCTTTGTCATAAATTTTTACAATAACTGTTATATTATTTGTGATTTTCCTTTTGATTTTATTGATGAGTTTGTACTACTGAAGGCTATCATTTTCATAGTGAACCACAATATCTACATATATTCCTTACAAGAAACAACACCTGTCTTAGGATAAAGATGAAGCTTCACTACAGAAATGTAAAAGAAAATTGATTAATGTGGAGGTTACAATACATTTCAAGATAGAAGATTCTGTGTTTTAAAGTTTTAATTTTTTCTAATTAATAGGTTTTTAATCGCATTTGATATCCTCTTAAGATTTTAAATTGGAATTGATGAAATAATAATGCTTGAGCTAGTTCTAGAGGGAACTATTTTCCCAGATTAAAAGGCTATAAAATTAGCAAAATTAAAATAGTGTAGGATTGGTGTCAACATCATTCATCAAAATAGACTCTAAAGCCCTGAAACACACTCTGTCATATATAAGGATTCAATATATGGTAAAAGAATATCATATGAAGATGGAGTATTCAACAAAAGGCCTTGGAGAAATTGTTTATCTGGAGGAAAAAAATGTTAGATTTTTCCCATCATGCCATTGACCAGAATACATTCTAAATAGATTAAGATATTAAATATAAAACACAATTAAAAAGGGAGATTCACCTAGCATAGAGTTGAATATTTAACTGTAGGCAAGATGTATTCAAGTAGAAAATGAGTAGAAAAATAATAAAGGGAAAGATTTAAAAATTGCGTTAAGAAATGTGGTATTTTTGTATGTATTTTTTCTTTTTCAGTGAGCTGGAAGAATCTCTACTTGTGCTGCCTTTCTCTTATGTCCCAGACATCCTTAAACTCTTTAATGAATTCATGCAGCTGGGCTCTGATGTTGAACTCATATGTAGGTGCCTCTTCTTCCTCCTCAGGTAACATCGTTTTTCCAAAGAATGTCTGTTTAGCACAGCTGCTTCAGTAGAACCTTAACTAAGCTGTCAACACTTTGGGATTAAGAAATATTATGCCGAACTCGGTGGCTCATACCTGTAATTCTCAGCACTTTGGGAGGCTGAAGTGGGTAGATTGCTTGAGCCCCAGGAGTTTGAGACAAGGTTGAGCAACATGGTGAAACCTTGTCTCTAGCAAAAATAAAAAAATTAGCTGGGGGTGGTGGAGCACACCTGTGGTCCCAGCTGCTTGGGAGGCTGAAGTGGGAGAATTGCTTGAGCCTAGGAGGCAAAGGCTGCAATGAGCCATAGATCATGCCAATGCACTCCAGCCTGGGCAACAGAGCAAGACTGTCTGCCAAAAAAAAAAAAGAAATATTGTTTCAGAGAGTGAATTTCAGTGCTAGCTGACATAAAATGTTTCTTACCCTTTGGAATCAGTCTTTCCTTTAAAATAAGGACCATGATGACCCACCTCTTTGAGTAAGAAGTCATGGTAATACATTGCTGAGGAATGCTTACTCAGTCATAGGCCTCCGTGTTATCGTCTAAGATAGCTCTAGTTCTAGTCAGTTTGCCAAAAGCCAATTGCGATTGGCCAATTTGCCTCATTTGTTATTTCTTTTAAATCAGGCTTGTCCAGCCTGTGGCCTGTGGGCACCATGTGGGCCAGTACAGCTTGCAATGTGGTCTGACACAAACTTGTAAACTTTAGTAAAACATTGAGATTTTTTTGTTGTTGGTCAGCTATCATTAGTGTATTTTATGTGTGGCCTGAGACAATTCTTCCAGTGTGGCCCAGTGGAGCCAAAAAGGTGGACAATACTGTTTTAAAGTGTTAGTATAAGCTGACAGGTTTTGTTTTGTCCTTATACCAACATTTTAAGGAAATTGGTTTATTTCTTGTAGTCTCTACAGGTGCAAATGGAAATGTAGGGGCGTATATAGAGGTAAACTAGGGAACACAAAGCAAATATGTTCATTAGGTTATATTCTTAAATATGAAGAATTCTGTTAATAAGTAGTTGAGAAGAATATATATACAAAGGCTTAATATATTCTTCTCATCTCTTACTCTTCGACTCTCACTTTCAAGCTGTTACAGCAGAGAACAGGAATAGAGACAATTTGAACATTCCTTCAAATACTGTTATGAAGACAAGACTAGCCAGCCAATGCCAAATAGTTAAACAGGTATATTTAGTGAATTGACCAAATAGGCATTCAGTGAATTGGCCCGTTTTTGTGATTCTTAACCCTTCATTACTTATATTCTATCCAGGATAGTAGCAAGAGAAGAAGAAGAAGATGTTCTGTTGCCCCATATTGTTAATTTGGGGCAAGTTGTAAACACATAAATTCATATTTGACAATATTACTAATAATTTTGATGGCATATGTGCTATTGAATCAGGGTTGCTGGTTCTACGAGAAACACTGAGTATTTAAAGTGTATCAGAGGGTTATAGATGGGTACTACCTGCAGGTATGGCAGGGTCTTCAAGGATATCTTTGAACTGTAGGTCAGAGTTTGAATCTCTGGTGAATGTCTCTATCTCTTTTTTGCTGTAGCTTTATTAGAAGTAATAATGCATCTTTGTTGAGTTGGCATTTCTTAGATGGCTCATTCTGTCTTTCAGTTTTCCACAAAGTACCACTGTCAAAATTTGTAGCCACTGGCAGGTTGCTAGGAAAGAGTCAGCCTTTGCAAATGAGTCGAATGTGTTATAAAGTTTAGGATAGTATTTTTTAAGTTGTCATCAAATTGAACTGAATAGTAGAGGAGGAAACTTCTTTGGCTTTTTTTTTTTTTTCCCAAAAGATGTCTATACTGTATTTTTTGTTGTTGCTTTGATATTGTGTCTGTTTAC